AGTTTTTCTTTCTAAACTAGTTTGGTCAGCTTCCATATCCTGTAACAAGGACTTTTTCATTGACCTAATAACACTACTCACTGTTTGCACTATTATATTAGTATCAATATTAGCCCCAATATAAGTGAATTTGCTCAATTAGGCCTCTTCTACACATTACACCTATTATGCAATTACCTAGCTAGTTGCATAATTAATTTAGATTGACTACACATACAAATTAACTATGATGACTTAAAAAGGTCCAACCAGCTATAAAGTGATTGCTGGAAAATGTGTAATGACTTTATAGATGGCTTCTATCCAGCTTTAATTTGCATGTGTAGCCTGTACTTCCATGGCAGGAAGACTGCAACTGCTATGATCTCCCAACCATGGGGGTGCCCCACAGCTGCTGGACGCAGCCTTGACAGCACGTGTCACAGCTGGGACTGAATCCCACAGCTGACAGGATTCTCAGCCCTGAATGTCGGGGTCAGCCAGGGCTGAGAGTCCCATCAGCTACAAGACTCGCAGCCCCTGAAGCACATGGAACACAGCCAAGGCCGAGAATCCTGTCAGATGTGGGACTTGCAGCTGCAGGAGTGTGCTATTTGCTGGTGCAGGGGGAGCCCAAGAAGTCTATAAACAAGTTACTAATCCCACATTTAGTCAATGACTACATTGCCTACGCAATCTCCCCTTGAGAAAGGGATTAATGAAGAAAGATTTAGGTTCAATATAAAGAAGAATTTCTTCCTGTGGGGGTGGTTTAATCTTGGAAAAGAATACAGCCTTTGCCATTCATGGGGGATACATTCTCGTATAAGATGGTGAATAAGGTGGCTGGAGGGCAGGGGCGTGGCTCCGGCGGCAGCAGGAGCCTGGCAGCGGTGGTGGGAGCATGGCGGCAGTGGCAGGAGCCCAGCAGCAGGAAGCACAGAGCTCCTGAGGAGCTCCTGTAAGTGTAAAAAGGGGATTTAAAATGAGGGTTCGGCATTTGCGAATATTTGAACTGCGAATGCTGAACCCATGAATAGCGAGGGTTTCCTGTACCTAGGGATGTCGCGAAACCTCTATTACCTGGAGAGTTTAATTACAGATCAGGCAAATATTTATTTAGGATTATTTTATACATGGATGATCCTGCCTTGAACACAAGGTTGGATTAAACAGCCTCATTAGGTCCCTTCCAGGCCTTTTTCTATGATTCTCTGAATTTATACATTACATATGGTAGAAATTAGTCATGTTGCTAAAGGCACACTTGGAAAATGCTCAAGTACTGTAGTGATGGGAGCAGTATAAGAGCCTATACAGAATGGAAGTGTTGCATGAAACGGAGAGCAGTACATCCGGCATGCCTGCTCCTGCTCAAAAGAACTTGAGATTGGTGGAAGAGGTAAGAAATGACACTTGAGGTCCCTCTTACAGTACAGAGCCTGAATCTAAGGATCTACTTTCAGTGAATACCAAAATATGATTTTCAAAGTTGTTACCATATTTCATGGTGTATAAGTTGAGTTTTCAAGACAAATTTTTAACTCTTAAAATTCAACCTCAACTTATACACCATCCCTCACCTCAGTGTAAGGCACTGGAAGCCCAGACGGGCTCATGGAAGAGGCAGCATGCTGGCAGGCTCCTGGGAGCTCAGTCAGCACATGGCCTGCTGGCAGCCTGTGTGGCTGGCCCCCATGCAGGGGATCACCCCTCCCCCCAAGTGTAGGGACTGCCCAGCTTGGTGGCAGCTTGGCCCCTGGCTACGGGGCAGGCAGGGAGGCTCTGCCAAAAGCAGGATCAGGCCCTTTTCTGCTTATTACTTCAGCAGGCTCCTGCAGCTGGCAGGATGCCTGGCACCACCTGGGAAGGGGCCCCAGAAGCAGCATGAGCTGTTGGGCAGGGGCAGAGGCCAGCCCAATCCAACACCCCTAGCTTCCCCACTGCACCCCCACCCAACTCAGATGCCTTGTTGGATCTGGTCCTGACCACGGGCGATTGACCTGGTGAGGGGTCTGCGGGTGCTCGACCACCTGGGTTACAGTGATCATTGCCTGCTGGAATTCATCATCCAGCGCAAGCTGCCAAAGGCCTGCAGCAAGGCAGCAGCCCTGGACTTCAGGAGGGCAGATTTCAATGAGATAAGGAGAATAGTCAGGGAGGCACTGAGGTCCCAGAGGGGAGGGGAGTCAGGTGTCCAGGAAGAGTGGTCGTTCCTTAAGGAGACAATCCTCCAAGCCCAAAGGGCATGGTGCCAGAGGACTGGAAAAGGGCCAATGTGGTTCCCATTTTCAAAAAAGGGAGGAAGGAGGACCCAGGAAACTATAGGTCAGTCAGTCTTACCTCAGTCCTGCTTTTTGAAAGAGTTATCCTGACACATGTCCGCGAGGGGCCAGCAGGGGAGATTATGCTTAGGGGCAACCAA